TGAGTTACATTAACATTTTTTCAAACCACTATTACCAATCTATTGTGCAAGGTTCAATCTCTAGACACAGCATAATTTATTTAGTACAATTTTTAGAAAAAACACTATTACTTTACGATCTCTTAGCAATAAGTTAACCTTCTCACCAAATTGCAAAATACAAAATAAGAAGATAAGAAATATACCCCTAGCAATAAATTAGTGACATTCATGACATCTACACAAAAAATTTATCCATGATCTCATATGAATAATAACATCAAAAGATTAAAAATAAATATTCAAACATGGAAAATTTCATGCTTTCTTCCTCTATCTATTTTACCAAGTGAAAATGCTCCACTAGAAAATGATCTCTTCATTGCAATTGGACTCTTAACACAATGCAACACCTTTCTTTTGTACCTTGACTTACTACTTTCTCCTCTTAACCTCTTTGATGAATCCATTGAACATCCTTCTTCACAAAAATCTTCATCTTCATTCATATTCAACACATCACCAATTGAAAAACCATTTTCAAATGAATGATCCATAGAAACTGACCTACACACATCATCTCTAATTTCAATTATTCTTTCTCTTCCCCTTCGCGAATTACATAAATCACTAAAAGCGCGCATCGAAAGCGCCTTCGAATCAACTCTACTATGATGATGCATCCTTGTTTCTTCCACAACTATTCGTTCATCTTCTGAAAAAGTTTCATTTCTTAAAGGAAATTCAATGACTGTAGCTGGAACTCGAACTGGAACTGGAACATGTAATGTTGAAGGATTCAAAGTGAAAATATTAGCACGACATAGAGGACAAGAAGAGTTCGATTTGAGCCATGTATCAATACAAGGAAGATGAAAAACATGGTTACACATTGGTAAAAGCCTAACACATTCATCATCTTGAAACTCACTTAGACAAACGGAACAATCAGTGACAGCAAAAAAACCGTCGCCTTTTCTGTATTTGAAAACTGCAATGGACTTAATCTGAACATCATCTAAACCAAAAGTCGAAACTTGACAATTTTCGCGGCGATTTTGCGTGAAATCCTCAGCCGGGTCAGTGCTATTTCTTCTTGAGGATTCTCTGTTACCACAGTATTTGGATATTAGAGTATAGTAAGTCAGTAACAGAAAAGCCGTGGCTAAAATTCCCATGACAGCAATAACAAGAGGTGAAAAATACGGTTTTGAATCATCGTCGGGGTATTGAAACGTTGGTGGTGGTGGAGGAGGGTAAATTATGTAGCACCATTGTGGACAATACATGCTACAAAAGCCTTGAGAACAGTCCTTACTGTTTAGGTAAGGAATCCATGTTGTTGGATAATCGGGTCGGGCCATGGAGACACTAGGTTAACAGGCTTCAAACCGCATCGCAGTTCAATATTGGTGTTGAAGATTATTTGTGGTAGAGAAAGAAGAATGAAGAGATGGCATAGATAAACTTGCAAGAAGGTTTGAAAGGAAAAGAAAACGTGAGAAAGAGGTAAGAGGCTTAGATGGAAAGCAAGACAAAGACAAGGAAAATGGGATCTATGATGGGAACAATTTAACTTTTCTTTTGTTTATTATAACTTTTTCTTTTTCTTTCATAGCTTTCTTTTTTTTTCTTCTATAGTGTAGTTCATCTTTCTTTGTTAGAAATGTTTGTTGACTAGTTAATGAGGTGTGTGATTGTGTACTTGTGTTGGTTGAGAAATTTATTAACATGATCAATTATTTTTGTTTATGTTTTCTATATATATGAATTCTACTATGTGTTGCAAATTTTCTACTTTCATACAACAAACAATTATCAGAGATTTTGTTTGTTTAAGACTATATAGTATAGATTTTCATTAATCGTTTGCAACGCTATGTGTGGAACTGATTTGGCCGTCAAGTTAGTTGTACCTGACATATAAGAAGTTAAGTTATACAATAAATTTAGTACTTTTTAGATTAAATGCATCACTTGGGTTAGGCTAGTACTAGTAAGCATAAATTAAACAAAAAAAAGTTGTTAATTATTAGAGAAATTTGTTCATTTTTGTTTGTGCCATGTGCTATCACAATGTTCACTGAAAAAATTAATTTGCATAAATTAATTTGGAATCTATCTATTTGTTGGGACACTTGTACTTTCGCTATTTAGTGATAAAATATGGCTATGGTGCTTTGTTGTCGCTTTCTCTTTTTTGTTTTGGGAATTTAGAATAACTAATTTTCTTTTATTCAACTTTGCATATATTCTCTCTCCACAATCCTAACAGTTGGTATATTTCTCTTTAAGTTTGGGACTAACTTATGAGTAAAGAAATATTTCAATACTTAAGCTATAATAGTAAAGGTGTTAGACTACTTTATACTTTGAGAAAATAATCATGACTAAATATAATTAAAAAAAATTGCCTTGTTACTTTGTATTGCATAACAAATTAAAGAGTTTATACACCACAAATATTAATAAATTATTACAATTATTTATATATGATATGGACAACGTTGACTCAAAGTGATTGTCGAAAAAATTAATGAAACAATATCAATTGGTCTAACACGTAAGATTTGAATGTCGTTAGTAACTCTAATATTATTATGTTTGTGTTGAAGTTGAATGACCAGTGATAGGTTTTGAGTGTTAATCAAAATAATTCAGTCACTTGAATGATTCTCACAAGTTTGTGAATTGAATCATAGTTGCTTTAAGACTTGGTTCAAGTTTATATTTACATAAATTGATCCATATCTCCTACAACTTTGACCAGGAATATGAATGAATCCGAAATCAATTTGTATGATTTTGAAAATTGTTTCCTTTTGACTTGAATCAGCTAGGCAAAGATTTTCTATTTTCTAAAATCAATTCAAGAATTGAATCTTGTGAATCAAATCATTCTTGTTCGGAATCATATAAACTTTTAATATGTTCATGTGAATATTTCATCTTAGAAATCGAGTTAACTTCATGTGATTTAAATCTCTAGTGTTGGGAATTTTGCTTAATATATCCAAATGTAGGTGTACAGGTCACCATTATTTGATCCATACATCAACAAATGTATTTATATTATTGTGAATAGAATGTCTTGAAACAAATTATAAACGGTTTCTTTATATTTAAAAAACACACAAGGATTAGGGTTAACAAAGAAAACAAGTAAGAAGAACAGGAAGAAACAACAAGGATTAGTCATAAACTACTATTCTTTCCTTTCTCTATCAAACAAGATTACAAGTATATAAGAATAACAAATAACCTCTCTCAATTGAATTAGGATTTTATCTTCCTATTTTTCCTTATACAAGATGAGAGACTAGTATGCTATTTATAAGAAAAATTAGCACACTAACCTAATGGGGTTTTTAACCATTATCCATTACAAGCTAACTTAAGGTACATGCTAACTTAAACAATTGGGCTTATAAGTAAGGTCCAATTCAACATGCTAACAAACCTAGCAATATTGACTAATGCGTGTTAGAATAAACTTCGACTACAACACGCATTACTCGCGAACAGACTTCGACCATACTAGAGTTCGATCCAATATCTCACAAATCTCCACCTTGGATCTAACTCTATAACATCAAGAAACTATCTTTCTTCATGCAGCTTTATCAACTGCATACAATGAAAAAACATGCAATTAGGCAACGTCTTGGTGATCATATCAGCAACATTATCATCTGTCGAAACCTTCAGCACTTGGGCTTCTCCACGCTCGATTACCACTCTGACGAAATGCAGCCTCACATCAATGTGTTTGGTTCACTCATGATAGGCTGAATTCTTCGATAGGTGTATTGCACTTTGACTATCATATTTAACAGTGATAACTTGACCTTGAAGTTTCAGCTCCTTTGCAAAACCTTCAAGCCACAATGCTTCCTTCACAACTTCAGTTAGGGCGATATGTTCCACTTCAGTGGTTGATAAGGCAACGACCTTCTGAAGTGTAGTTTTCCAACTGATTGATGTCCCAAACATAGTGAACACATATCCAGAAATAGATTTTCTGGAATCCATACAACCTGCATAATCAGAGTCGGCATATCTTTCAATTACTGTTTGACTATCTTCACGCAAGGCTCCGCCATAAATCACGACTCTATTCATAGACCCATTTATGTACCTTAGAATCCACTTCAATGCTTGTCAGTGAGTCTTTCCAGGATTTACCATGTACTTGCTTACAAGACTTACTGCATATGTTATGTCGGGTCTAGTACAGACCATAACATACATCAAAGAACCCATTATATTAGCATATGGAATGCTATTCATATAAGCTCTTTCGATATCAGTATTGGGACACTGATCTATACTCAATTTGAATTTAGGGTTTGTCATAGTCACAACAGGTTTTAAATTCGACATATCAAACTTTTCGAGAATCTTCTGTAGGTATGCCTCTTGAGATAAGCATAATTTCGACTGCTTTCTATCTCTTCGGATGTCAATCTCAAGAATCCTAGACACAGGTCTCAGATCCTTCATGTCAAACTTCTTATTAAATTCAGCCTTCACCCTCATTACATCTTCGACATTGTTGCTTGCTATTAGAATATCATCCACACAAAGCAACAAAATAACAAATGAATTACTAGGTCGAAATCTGAAGTAAACACAGTACTTGAATTGACTTCTAATGAAACTTATGCGTGCCATGAACTTGTCGAATCTCCTATTCCACTGTCGAAGAGATTGTTTCAGTCCATATAAAGATCTATTCAGTTTGCACATATAAGTTTCCTTCCCTTTTTCGACATACCCTTCAGGTTGCCTCATAAGGATTATTTCATCTAGATCATCATACAAGAATGCGGTCTTCACATCCATCTGTTCCAGTTCAAGGTTGAACTGTGCTACTGTGGCAAGCAACATTTGAATAGATTTATGCTTTACAACATGAGAGAACATATCATTAAAGTCGACACCTTCTTTCTGAGTGAACCCCTTAGCGACCAATCTTTCCTTGTATCTCTTCGACGCCACTCCTTCGACTCCTTCCTTAACTTTGAAAGTCCATTTACTGCTGACTAACCTGGCTCTAGCAGGTTTCTTGATCAGTTCCCAGGTATTGTTATCATGAAGAGATTTCATCTCATCATCCATGGCCTTCATCCATTCAGTCTTCTTTCGACTCCTCATAACTTCCTTTAAGTATCTAGGTTCTTCGTCTAGAACCTGACTTGCAGAGATTAAGGCATAAGTTATTAGATCTGCATACCTAAGTCTTTGAGGTGGCTTGATGACTCTCTTTGATCTGTCTCTTGCTAGCAGGTAGTCATTATCAGTCTCCTCAACTTCGACAGCAGCTTCTGCTTCTTCTTTGACTTCATCTGGGATACGCAATTCAGCATCAACGTGCTCCACCTCAACAGGAATTTCTCCCAGTTCCAACTTTTCATCAACATCATCAGTTTTCTTGAAAGCCATCTCTACTTCATTAGAAATTACATCTCGACTGGTGATACGCCTCCTGTGACCTGGCTCTAGGCAGCATAGCCTATAAGCTTTGACTCCTTCAGGGTATCCCATGAACATGCATTTCGGAGCTCTAGGTTCGACCTTCCCTTGCCTAATATGAGCATAGGCCATGCAGCCAAAATCTCTCAGTCTGTCGAGACTAGGTGGATGTCCCGACCAAAATTCTTCAGGTGTCTTCATTCCCAAGGCAGTCGAGAGACATCTACTTACCAGATAGGCTACTTTCGAAACAGTCTCCGCCTAAAACACCTTCTTCAATCTAGCACTAACCAACATGCATCTAACCCTTTCAAGGATTATTCGATTGAATCTCTCAACTAAGCCATTTTGTTGAGGAGTACTTGCTACAGTATTATGCCTTGAAATCCTAGACTCAACACAGTAACTGTCGAACGCTTCATTGCAGAACTCGAGGCCATTGTCGATTCTCAACCTCTTAATCTTTCTTCCAGTTTGAGTTTCGACCAGAATCTTCCAACTTTTGAAATTCTCAAAAGTTTCATGCTTTTTCTTCTAGATGAATACCCATAGCTCTCTAGAATAGTCACCAATGATGGATAGAAAATAACTTGCACCTGAGTATGAAGGATTCCTTGTGAAGACAAGCTTCTCAAGCGATTTTGATGACGACATAATCCACAACAGGCAAGGATGGTTTCTAAACTTCAAATATATCAAGTTTCCAGCAACTCACTTTCATTTCATTATGTCAAAGCTTGATCAAGAAAGAAGTCAAGTTCTACACAAAGGGAGGTACAACACTTAAGCTATTATATACCTTACACAAGTGTTCAACTTCATCTCTTTCTTACATTTCATGAAAAACCTTTTAAAATTCATCTATGCACTTATGCCTCGTTTTTGAAAA